CATTCATTTTCAAAGCCCAGCTCCTTTCAGATGAAACCTTCATCGCGAATTCAACAAGCTAATTTGCACCGCATTTCAAGGCATGACAGCGCAGATTCTTTTATATACTCCAGCCATCTGATTAAGGCGCCTGTGTTTAGTGCTACGAAGAAACTGTGTTGCCAATTTCTGCTTTAGTATTTTGACATTCCGCTTGTGTACTCTCGGAGTGAATAAAAAATAGCTCACAAACGGAGTATTCCACAGGGTGTAGTGGCACTTTTCCCTTGCCTCCTGTAGCCTAGCAGACCGGTGCGACTACGCCGCTTGAATCCGAAGAACTGACTACGGAGATTATCATTCTTCGCGGCGGTATCGAAAAAGTAACAGTTAGCCAGTAAACCATAACACCGTGGCTAAATGTCATCATATATGTGTACGAATCGACACACACACTTGTTGGTGTTCAAATAAAATTCTGTTCTTCCCAACAAAGCGACGCTGTTTCGCACCTGTTCACCGCAGGTGCTAAAATACCATGGAGCCGAGGCCTACTTAAACGTTCCCCTAGGCTGCTAGAAGCAGGAGGACGGTGCAACTGCACCGGGTGAATATGGAGATGTGACAGGAAATAATAAACTATGCATTCACAGTATTTTTATAAACTTCTGTCAGCGCGCTTTCGCCGGGTTACACACTGACACGAAATCGAAGGAGATGAGGCTGAAATCAGGATACCAAGCAACGGATCGAATTGTACATCTTAAGTGTTACTGAAATCACGCTCAGCAGATGTGGTTTCAATAACAATACATTCATAGTGCTGTCTATACAACTGAAAGAGTACGTAAGCGACAATGCTGCACAGGTGACCGTATAGGCCACTGTTGTTGAGCGGGGGGTGCGTGCAAATAAAAGTGACTTCTCTGACCTTGCTTATAAGACCTAATAGACATTACTTCCGTCGCCCTCAACTTAGTATCTTCCAATGCGCGTCTGTCGATCTTTATGAATACAATATACAATACATGACAGAATTACAGCTCGTTACCTTGCCTTTTCGAACAGCCGCTGGGCATAACGCAAGTCGTCCACATCCAGCTCTTTGACGACTTCTTGACGATAGCGCGCGATAAACGGCAAGCTGTTGCCGGAAGCAAACAGCTCGGACAGCCGATCCCACTGACAACGTTTGGGACCGATGTTCTTTTCCAGGTATTCGCCAAATGTCCAGAAACAATTTTGCGGTTTGGCCACTAAATGGGGAAAGTTCGGAAAAATTTATCGCGAAACACAGCTAACTTTTCAGCATGAGAAGATACGTAGAGATGATGTGCTTCTTCTGAACGCAGGTTCGTTCTTCAACCTTTGATGAACGCCACTGACCGTAAAATAATTGGATCACCTGCAATGATGATCACCTTTGATGAACAGCAATTTTAAAGTAAAGCCACACTTTTAAGGTTTTTGACAAATCAAAAGAAAGCAAAGCGTAACTTTTCGAGCTGTTGACTTGTTCAGTTACTTACAGCAGAACAGTCTTAACAAGAAGAAACGGAATAAGTCTTCATGACATAAGGTCTTCCGATATAATGGTTATAGGTACAAAAAATAGGCTCAGATAAAACTTCCTTTCTATGAGACGACACTGACATCATTATGTACATTTAACCGTGATAATGACAGTACAGTCACTGTCAAAACGGATTGGTGAATAAAAGTTTTTATTTCGTTCCATTAACCTACAACCAGAACCATGAAAAAAAAATCAAAATAAACTTTTAATTTAACGTTTATATGTTTAAGAATCATTTAGCAATTGTGCGGATTATGAAAATCAGCCGTTCGGTTGCAACTCAACACAGTCACTGACGTTGGGATTTATTATAATGCCCTGTGATCACTCCGAAATTTAGCAACTATTCAACATATGCAGAGTGAAAAAGATATACTGCACATTTCATAAGTTTAAAAGCAGAATTAACATAAAGCCACTAAGATACTAACATACAACGAAATACGATACACTGGGGTAAAAATATGCTAGATAGTTTACAAAACGTAGAAGCCAGTAACAATCTACTAGTATGAAATAAATAAATAGTCTACGATATAGTGCGTATAGTAAGAAAAAAATTGCATAAAAGAGGTTTATTTGATGCACATCGCCAAAGACGGTCAGTCCTACGACTGAGAGAACTAACGCTTCGGCCTGAATTCCACAGGCCTTCATAAATTTGGAGATTTTAATTAAGCTCGCTGGTCGCTCGGGTAATCTGCAGCAGGTGAAGTGATATGCTACGACGTTACCATACAGGATGTTTCACAGACGGATAAAGATTTAGTATACATTTTATGAGACTTAAAGCAGAAGGCAGCATGAAACTACAAGAATATGCCATCGAGTGCCATGGAACCGTGGTCTGCCTAAATTGTTTCTCTAGACGTCTAGAAGCACAGGGGAAGCGTGCTTATGCAGAGCAATCAGGTGTGAACAATTGAATTGACATAAATACCGACGGAACTGAAAAGCTGCCATTTGCGGTTCATTCCAGAACATCAGGGTCATGTTTTGTCAACTTACACCACTCCAGCAGACAGAGAAGGTCGTCTGTTTTTCAGCAGTTCTGTACAAGAATAAGAACAACAAAATTGCAGAGGATAATCAGCTACGTTTTAGGGAGTTAATCTTAAAAATACGATATTAGGAGCCTATTCAATTAAAGTTCGAATCAGCTGAGGCTTCGTGGAGTGACTGCAGTTTTCACTCTGAACTAAAGGATGGCAAAGTTCCGTCTCCTAGAATATTCTGGAGCAAGGTTCTACCATTATGCGGTACAGTGAATGCAGTGGGTAAGACACCATTTTATGGGGCAACCTGGCTGTGACGGTGCTTTCAAGTTGGATGACAGGTTAGGTCTGAGAAAGGCACTGAACATTAACCAACAATTTGTGACACAGTTGACTTTAGTGCAGAAGGTTGGACTCGAATATCGCTAGGGCACAGATACAGGAGAACAGAAAGCAGTCACTGGGCTCCACATTTTAGACGGCCGAGTCCAAATACAAGACCCGCCTGAAAACTAATAACAAACTGCTAATTTCGTTGAAGAATTCACATCTCTGTGCCTCCGTGTAACTAGACGAGAAACTGATAGCAAATCGACGATGTGCCAACAAAGCTCTTGGGGACAGCACACATTCCGGCGTGCTAATACCACAGCTTACGAGAATTATGGTCATGCGTCTGATGCGTGAGATTTACTGCCGCAATTTGCGTTCGTTCATCTGATAACTGACCAAAAACAAGCGCTACACTTGCCACAAGGCTGTAAACTCTTCTTTTATAAAAAGGCGTAAACCACCAATTGAAAGCATCACTGGTGTCGAATTCAATGAATAATGGACTTGATCTGTGTCGTTGGCTGTAAATTATTGAGCTCAATCATAAATTCTGATTTACAGGTTTACCGCATGAACATAAATTTATAAGTTGAACCGTTAATCATCAGGATATGTAGCGACCATTGAAGCCCTGTGCATCGCGCAGCTGACAACGTAATGCTCGGTAGTGTCCAATCCGTTCACCCATTATGCAGTGTTGCTTTGTCTGTTTGCAAATCATTAACTTGTTACTCGATCTCGAATGTTTACACCATAAAAGGACGGATCTCATTCTATGGGTAGCATCAGCTGAGGGTAGCGCGCAATGGAGGATACCAAGTGTAGGTTGAGATCAGTTCTGCAGCAAAGTAGAGTGAAGTTAATTCTCAGCGATAAAAGTGGTCGAAATAAGTTACGAATTGTAGCTAGCGATCGAAATTAGAAACTTTGTCATGCAGGTACCAACAAGTCCATACCGTTGCTTCCCGATTTAACAAAGCGATCGGCGGGCTGTGCGATCGATATCGAAGGGAACCACACACCGTTGACACTAAACTTTCCCATGCCAAAAATGTCAACAGACACACAGCATAACGACAGCAAGGGTTAAAACCATGATTTGTATATCCAATGCTGTGGCAGATACAAGATTCATACACGGCGTATCTACGAAGTACGCTGACAAATAAAGCAATGGTATGCTAACGTACAGCGTCGAGCATTAACCAATGACGTATTCACGTAGTGTCATTTAAACGAAAAGCAAGACGCCTAACCCTCAAAGATACTGACTGCAACGTTCAAACTACCAACTGTTTATTTGTCCTCAATAATACGATTCAGCTGGCCGCCAACCAAACCGAAGGAAGTTCCTGCGCGAAGTTTATCTAAACATACCTGCCGATCACAGGCAGGTAAAAGTCTGTAGTAGTAATCCGATGAGTAAACTAACTTGCAATTGATTACGCTGGGTCTGACCTATGAAGAAAAGTACGAATTTCAGATTAAGCTGAAGACTGAAAATCACAAAATGATCCAGCATTCCAGCGCAAATCAAAAACCTGTGTAACTAAATTAAACAATGAACAAATTGCGGCTTGTGTTATTCCGAGAAAATGTTCTGGAGATCTAGGCAACGCCTTTAAATCAAAGTTTATAAATAGTAGTTACCATAAGATATGCTTTGTGTATTATGCCTTTTTGTACTATATCAAAATGAATATGCTTACTTTTCAACTTCGATTTTATTTCCATTGCACCTTCTCCGTTCGGGTCGCGCTGACAGACGCATCAGATAATACTTACAAAATCCCCCTCCTCATCCTGTGTCTGCGTTTGAGCTTCAGTAGAAGACAACCAGAGCCTAGAGGAGATTCCATTATTTTTTTCAAGGAATCTCAGCTGACGCTCGGGACTTCTGCCGGTCGACTGGGCAAGAAGTTGTTGCTTCGCCCTCCTTCTGGAGGCGCTCGAAACATGTGCCGAAACTATCGCAGATGTGAATTTCAGTCTGAAGAAGTGGCAGCTGTACACCAAGAGTCTCGCCGATTTCTGTACTTCGAACAATGTCGAGACGTGTGAGGCAAACGGCTCATCTGAGAAAGTCTCTTTCAGCCGCTTGTACTAGGAATTTAACTTTTAAGTCATGGTTCGCGACTTATGACCGTAGATGAGCATGGAGGCTAAGATCGATTTGAACACCGCAAGCTTAGACCAGCTAATACCAAAACGAAGAAATTATGACAGTGCCCTCCGCGACCGGCGGTTCAGGGATATTACGAAATGGTATTACGAAGTAGATCACTTCAAGGATCTGGGGACTGCGTTGACCAAC